CCTCCGCGGGGCGTGCTGCCTCCCACCTGCGCCGGCGTCGGCACAAGCGCCAGCTTTCTCCTCCTTCCACAGTATTGCTCTTTAAAGCTCACTTTGGGCTTTGCCAGCTCTTCCGCGGTGCTCTGCTCTCTTGCCTCTTCCCGAGGCCTGAACATTCTCTTTTTATTTGCATTTCTTACCGTGTGTTGCCTCCCTCAAGCAAGCTGAGCGACGCGAGGAAATCAGGCTTTTCCTCCCGCCGCGCGCTGCCCTGCGGGCTGGAGCCCTGGCTCAGCCGTTACAGCCGCTTCTCCCGCGAGCACACCTCGAGACATCCAACTTCACTACTTTTCCGCAGCACAGAAGAGGTGGAAAGGCTTAAAACTCAGCTCAGTGACCTTCCCTGCTCTCGATCAATATGTCTCTATCCGTCTCACAGCCCTTTGCTCCTACCAACTCACCTTGCTATGAACTGTTAAGCTGCAAAGCCGCGGGGCAGCACGGGCATGGCCAGGGCTCTCCCCATGTCTGACAGCGAGCTGGGTATGCCCCGAGGGGCTGCTCCCGCCAAACCCACCCAAAACAACCAGTGGTCCGACCACCAGCCACTCTTTTCCACCCACAGTCCTAAGCAATGCTGCTCCCATGTCCTTTCCTCTTCCAGTTTTCCTCCTCCTGGCCCCAAGGGGAGGAGCAGCCATCACCAAAAGACATCCCAAACGCGTCCAACAGAGGTGAGAGGCTGGAAGTTGAGCCCAGGGATCCCCTTTAGCAGGACAATTGCATCCTGCCCTTGTTACTGGAGCCAGGACAAAGGCAATGCTGTCGGCAATGCTCAGCACACCCTTCCCCTTGCAGCCCGCAGCTTGGCATCTCCCGGCTACGGTACTCAAAAGGGTCCCTGCACTGCCCAACCTCAGCCGTTGCCATCGGGCAGCAAGGCTCTGCCAACAGACCATGCCTTCTTCAAAGGAGGAACTTCCCTCCAGCTGCTACGGTTTCTATCAAGCAAAAGGGAGGAGGTGTTCGGTTTGAGTCTCCTGCCCGCAGACGGGCTGGCTTACACGCTACTCACGAGGGGACTTTACAAGAACAGCGGAAGAATCATTGTTTACCCACCCCAGGGATCACGCAAACACCAACACGGAGCCGGGTTTGAAACTACGCAGCCATTTGGTGTCAGATGTGACCTTCACTTGCTGAGCGCCCACCTGGAATGAGAGCCCAGGTGTTAATAGCAAACCGCTCCTGGAAGCAGCCTGGCTTCGAGGATCAGCGTAACCTGGAATAAAGTCGGGCAGGCTGACAAACGGGTGCCACCAGCTCCAAGCGCTGTACGTGACACTGTCCAAGGTATTACGGCTGCACACCTTCAAGGAGAAACACAGAGCTCCACGCTTGCTGTCCACACTCTTTGCCACCATCCATGGGCCAGGGCGGCAATCCCGAGGGACTGCCCCGAGCCGTGGCAGAGGCTTCCAGAGCAGATGGTATCTGCTGTGGAGGAGGTGATGGGAGACTCAGGGAAACGGGAGGGAAAGGGTGACCCTGCTGCTGGAGTGGGCAGAGACAAGAGGTGTCAAAGCAGGACAAGGGGCTGTAGGACACTCAGCTTTGAGCTAGGTCCTGCTAATGGGGACTGCTGCAACACAGGCCATCAGGGACACAATGGCTGAAGATCACCTTTCCTTCCTGCCTCAGCACCATCGCCCAGTTCTTCCTCTCATGATGTGGTCCAGGTCCAAGGAGGACGCAGCTCAACGGAACAGGAACAAAAGTGTTTGAGATCTCCTTTTCTTGAATCCAATCCCTTGCACAGGAGGCACAAACCATCTAGGCCAAGACTTGGTGGTGCCACAGGAGAACGGCTTTGAGGAACACTCATCACCTGCCCCAAAGCCCAGTGTCTGTAAAGCCATCACTACCCGACGCTTGCTAACACTTCGCACGCATCAACCTCAGTCTTCACTCACTTGGCACAACAGCCCGTGCCAGCGCTGGGTTCCCTATGGCTCAGGGAGAGGAGCAGATGGAAAATGGAAAACCAGGAAAATTGCACTGCCTGGGAGCACAGGGTATGCGAATTTTTTTTTTTTTTCTTTTTAGGAGTTGGGCACCTGGATTTCTGCAGCTCCCAGTGAAATCGCAGGCCTCGCAATTCAAAATAATTAGCGACTGGTAGTTTTCCTTTTATGCAAAATCATCCTTTTTATCCAACACCTAAATGAAAATGAATATGCTTGATTATCTACCAAAGGGCCCAATTTCCTAGCATCGCTCCAAAGCACACAGCAAAATTCATGTCTCCTCCGGCTGCTGTTACAGGCGATGGCTGAGTGCAACAAATGAGCGGCCAAGGCAGAGATCCAGAGCCAGGGATGCCAGCCTGACCTTTGCTGATGCTATTTACAGCATCAAATATCCACAAATCCAGCCATGGCTGCATCCACATCCTTTCTGCTCCAGCCTGGGGGGCTCAAGGGCAGCCAGGAGAGCTCATAGCTGGCCCACCAGTATTGGAGCATCACAGATGTCCCCCTTCATCCATGCAGCCCATCCCACCACACCAAAGCCCATCCTTTGAGGCAGCTTTCAACCAGGTTCACTCCCAGGGGAGAGGATGAAACAAGCTTTTTAACAGACAGGGCTCTGAAGCACCTCCTGAACGTGTCAAATTTAAGGCTGATGGCAGGGAACCCCCCCAGGCAGGCTCTTCAGAAGATGTCTGTGCTCAATCCACTCAGCAGAGCGAGCTCCTCATGGCTCAGCCGTCTGTCATCACCGTCCCCCACCGGGCTCCATCTATCCACCTCCCACGGCCTCCACCCAGGGGTCTCGCCCAGGGGAATCCCCCACCCACCCCTTTACCAACCTCCCCGTCCCCTGGCCAGGGTGACACCGCACGATCGTATGTTGGTAACTCCCATCGCTTCCAGACTCACCCTGTTCTCGTCGTAGATGATCTGCACCAAGCTGCGATGTTTGGACTCGATAGGAGGAGGGGAGATGGGTTTTTCAGGCTCTGGTGGTTTGGCTGCTTCTTCCTCCAACTGTTGCTGTGGAAGGAGAGGGGGGAGGAGGAGGGTGAGTCACAGCAAGAAACGCAGCCGTCCCCATCCACACGCGACCTTCCGCGGTGCCGCGACCGAGGCAGACAAGGGAGGAGGGTTCCCTGGGAGCCACAGGCAGGCTGGGGCTGCGGAGGGACGGGGAGAGGGAGGAGAGCTGTGCAACATCCCCTGCCACGCAAGCGCAGCGCTGTCCTGCGCCGGGCACCCGGCCCCACGCTGGTGGGTCCGTACTTTTTAGGCATGGAGGATGAGGATCTGGCTCAAATGAGTCTCCTGGAGAAGGCTGAAGGCTAGAAATCACGATTTTACTGGAAACCCTTAAAGAGAACTGCAGCTCCAGCCCGGCTCCCTCTGCTGCTACCTGCCGTGGGAGCTGCCGCCGTGCTGTAGCGAGTGGTGGAGGAGCGCGTGGTGAGCAGCAAGGCTGCTCTCCTCCTTCAGCATTATCTGGCGGTGCTGTGGTTGGAGATGCCCCGGAATGACTGCTCTCGATGAAATGACTTTTTCCTGCGCCACACAGCCGGATGAGCCAGTAGTTACGGCAGAGGAGGCAACACCACCGTCAAAGCTGACGTCTCTGGTGAGAGTCAGCCTGATGGGACACATGGCAGCCCTCCAGGCCACGGGGAGAGGTGAAAAGTGCTCAGGAGGGCAAGCAACAGCTACAGGATTCCCTGCAGAGGAGGGCACGGTGCTCGGGCACAGGCCACTGAGATACCCTTTGGGGAATGTTCGTAGAGAGGCCAAGTGCTGGGGCTGCAAACACCTGCAGTGTGAACACGCCACGTCTGTCCCAGCAGCACAGGAAGAGCTGCTGAGGCCACCGGCACAGCATGAGCTGCCTTCCAGCCATCAGCCATCACACTCCTGGGAAGGTGCCTTTGAGACTCATTCCTCTCCTCCCTGCACACAGGGCAAGCTGTCCTGAGGAGAAACCACCAAGTCCAGGCTTGAACCAGAGAAAGCCCAGTAGGGATGGATGGCCACCACTCAGGTGACCTGCCCTCAGAGACAACAGTCTGAAGAAGCCTGTTCTGTTGGCTCTTCTGCTTTCTTTCTGTCTTTACGACATTGTCACAGCTCCACGTTTCATGGTATCTAGGGTTTGAGGTGCAGCAGCTGCGTGCAGAAGCACACTGTGCCGTCCCCTCCAGCACCACATGTCTGCCTGTGTTGGGACAATGCAACCCCAGGTGTGTGTCTCATCCCAAGCTTCACTCCCACTCACAGCAGAAACACCCAGGAGCCCAAGAGCTGCTCCACAGGCATGTCCACCACATCCCCACCACAGCTGCAGCAAAACGCACCCAGCCCCAAAGCTGGCTGGAATGCCAACCACCCCCTTGGGAGATGGAAAGCAGAAGGGAGCATGTCCACACAAGCACCTTTAGAGATCACTAATCTTTTAGCACGTTCCCACCCATCCGCGAGCTGCTCAGGCCATTGCAAACTTGAATTATAAAGTAGTAGATGTAAGAAAGCACTTTTGAATATCACCACGGTCAGCGGGTATATCTGACGTACGACCTGTGCCTCCGGCTCTCCGGACGGGTGCGAGGCAGGAGGAGACATCTGAGCCCTTCCAGTAAGTTTGAGGAACCGCTTACTCAAAAGAGGAAATCACAGATTCCTCCAAGCTCCTCCCGGGGCCACGGGCTCCCTGCGAGGAGGGAGAGCTCACGCCACGCACGGCAGCTGCGCGGCAGCACAGGCACGGGAAAGGGAGCAGTTGTCAAGAAGCACTTATGATTTTTTCACTGCTCGGCTCTGAATCTCCAAATCTCTGGTTTTTTTTTCCCCTGCAGCTAAAGCATCCCCTGGTGAAGCAAGGGGAAGATCGGGTCAGGCTCGTACTAGGGAGAAAACACACCTGGGATTGACAGCAATGGGCTCGCACTAGAGGCAAGTGCACCACTGGCCTCCCACTGACAGCGGTGTCTGGTGGTCTGAGAAGGTGGTGGGCACCTGTTCCTCCTTCAGATCATCCCTGCTCTTGTTGACGGCACCTTTAGCAACACTAGGGCTGTAGCATGCACTCCAAGAAAACACTTAAGCACCCAGAGAGGTCTACCGGCTTGGCTGAGAAACCTCCCACCTCTTAACTTTTGTGTTTCCATGGATGAAGCAACCCCGTGCTGTGGATTCCGCTCATGCTCCACCTCCCCACAGGTGGGCATCTTTTCCCATACAGGGAAAAGCAGTAGCATAGGGAACATTGAGATATAGCCAAAAAAAAAGGCCACCATCGGCTGAGCACTGTCCCAGCTGCGGAGCCTGCTCTGGCAGAGGCAGCACAGCCCAGGCTCCACGTGTTGGCATGTGTGTGCCCATGTCAGGGCCTTAACCTAGGTGTTACTCCAGCCACGCATGAGGATGGCCAGGAAACAGCCAACTTGGAAGGTCTGCACCTGGGAAGGTGACGAACCTTCCCAGGCACCGCAGGGATCCATCCCTTTCCACCCACAAAGAGCCGGCCACACACTGAAGGCTCCAACCATGCGTGTACAGCCCAAGAGCTCCCTTCTCTTCTCAACCACAGCTGTTCCTCAGGTGGCCCAAATCACAGGGCCTTGCAAAGGGGACATGAGCTCTTGGAGAAGACATGGCTGAAACCACAGGCTCCCAAGCAGCTCTCAGTGTCAGCCTCGGCGCGGAAGCAGCGTTTCCAGGCACCTGCCTGCTCCTGCTCGGTGTCCTCAGACCAGCCAAGGCACCCATCACACACCCTCACTCCCACCTCAAACTCCAAAATCTCCAGAGAAAGAGCCATAACAGGGATCAGTCAAATCGTCTACTTCTCTTGGGAAACTATTTGGATAAAAACAAAACAAAACAAAAAAAATCTGACAGAAACTTGGCTACTCTGTTCTGGAAACCCACAAAATTCCGCAAAGCGGTTGAGTGAGTTACAAGTGATTTCAGACAAGACGATTTGATGACTTATCAGGAAATGAAAGGTTGCCAGTAAGTGGAGGCTCATTAAAAGCAGCTCGTTAAAAGAAAAATACAAAACTAATTATAGCTGAAATACAGCAGAGAATTAAACTCTCCTCCCCGTGGCATCACACCGTTCGGTTACCAACGGGCCGACAGCAGCGGCAGGACGCGCGCAGGGTCTGCGGCAGCGCACCTGACCGCAGCAGCTTCAGCCCCTGGGAGCCGTGGGAAATGGCAAAGAGAAATAGGTCAGGGTTCCCAGACACGGACAAAATGGATTTCTTAAAGGTCTGCCACAAAAGGTAGGCTGGGACTGTGACCTTTACAGGGAGAGAAGCGGGATGAGAGACGAGTCTTGATGGCTCCACACTCTCTCCCTCCCCACTCGCAGCAGCGGCTGCCTGAAAGCCCCCTCCTCTCCCCAAATGAAAGCCAGCGCGGTGATGCTGAAGGGATGCAAGATGCCATCGTTAGCCATTGCCCTGGCTCCTACAGCATCCATGGGCCAACCCGCTTCCAAGCAAGGAGGTGCCCTCTCCAGGTAACGGTTCCTTTTAGCTGGACCACATGCTGTGGAGGTGCCATCGGAGCCCACGGCGCTGGCAGGAAGGTGGGTGACATTTCGGGAAGACCTTATTCCTGCACGTACCAGCCCCCAGTGCTGAAGGGACCTGCCTGATGAAGTCAAGGTCACCACACACACCCCCAACTGCTACTCTGCGTGCGCTGGGCAGCCATCACCCAGGGACCGGGATGCTTCGCCTGCCCAGGGAACAGGAGAGGGCTTCCAGCCTCAGAGCATCCTGGAAAAACACTTTCAAAGAGCCGAGGGGAGAACAGAAGAAACTGAGACAGATGGAAGGAGAAACCCTGGAGCTCTTCCACCCAGCCAGCTCCACCTCCAGCACCAGGTGGGAGTGTTGTACTCCCGGAGAGCCCTTCGCCGAGCGCCCGGGGAGGCTCCGGCACTGCCTGGGAGAACAGCCCAGCAGTTTATTTCTCCTTCAGATCCCCACTACCGCTGCCAAGAATAAATGCATAAGGATTATCCTTCCCTGTCAGGAAGAGGGGGAAGAGAGGACTCATCGAGAGATTTAAGCGCATATGGCGCATGAATGAGCGGGGGACGGTGGCTGGAGGTGGCCTTCTGCCAGGGGCACGCAGGGTTTGGGGCAGGTTCCTCAGCTTGCTGGAGACGTTTCCTTCTTGCCAAGTCCAGGCTGAGCCTTCCTTGCCTTTTCTGGAGCAACGGAAAAAACAGAGCTGGTGGATTTGGGTTGGTGGGGATTTTTTTTTTTTTTGCACAGCCTTTCCATACAAATGTGTTTAATTACCCCGAGAAGGCCTCCCAAAGACAGAGGGGAAAAGCATTAGGATATTCCGGCTGCGTACAGTTTCTCTCCCCCGCTCCACCGCTCATTCCTGCAGGAACGGTATCTGTTTCGGGCTGATTGCTTTTCCTCGCTCGTCTTTCTCCCGCGCTGACAGCTCAGATGCACAGATGGACAAAACGTTCCCGGAGCATCTCCGACAGGACTCCCCCACCCCCCGAAAACGCTTCCTCCCAGATGTGCTGGTTCTGCCGGAGGAGCGGGCTAGGGAAGGATCCTGCCGGAGGGGAACGGAGGCCATGCTGGGGGGGTGGGATTTGCTACCAAATGATTTTGCCACCATGTTCAAAAAAAAAAAAATAGAGTCAAAAAGGAGGGGAGGGGATGCTTTTACTGCCAAGAGCCACTTTCACCTTCTTCCCCACTCAGCAGAGCATTTTTGTGGGGAGGAAGAATCGTAAAATTTGTTCCAAGGGAAGAAATAAAGCAACCAAGCAGCCAACAATAAAAAACCCATTTCCTTACGGAAGGACAGCTTGATTTTAATGGCAAGGAGCATATGCTGCTCTAGGCAGCTTCAAGAGCAGCTCCTCAGCACCTCTGAAAAAAGTCAGGCAGAGGGGTGGCAGAGCTGCCAGCCCTCCCAGCTGCCATCAGCGGGACTGTCCCCACTGCACTGGGCACATGTTCTGCTCCAGAAGCCCCTCTCTGGAGTGGGACGTGACCACAGTTTGCACCCTCTTCCTCGAATGTGAGTTAAAAACATGGAGCAGCAGGCAGACTACCAGGTGAGAGAGGACACCAACATTTTGTCTGAGCTTCCTAGGAGGGAGAGGGAAGGGCTGGCTTCACCCAGCTCCCACCAAACCCAACAAGAGGAACTTCTGCGGTTTCCATCGCTCCAGATGTTCCTTTGGCCCCTGCGAGCTGGCACACAGGGCTGCTTCCTCGCACCCCCAGCACAGCTGCTTCTGCCCACTCTTCTCTCTCTCCCTAAGCACTCCGATACCTCTGCAGACAACAAGCAACACATACATACACAGAAAAAAAGATCCTTCACATTAATTAAACCGTATTGTTTGAAAACAAAACCAAAACATCCTGCTTTGTCTTGCAGGAAAGAAAGGGATAGTATCTGGCATGGGAAAATACAGATCTGATGGGGAGGAAGGTCAAATGCATTCTCGTCCTCGAGGAGCACTTGCCCCATTCGACAGCCCAAGTAGAGGTTTTGCTCCATTACTGAACTTCTGCTGCACACCACTCTGGAGAGGTTGTTCCTCTCGGGCAGTTCGGAATTAGCAGCTGATAACGGAGTTTAGAAACCAGACCCAAGCAGACGAAATAAAACAACCAGGAAGAGAGAGGCAGAGAGAAGAGATTTGCTTTAGGAAGTGAAAGCCTTTAAGTCTGTGGGTTTTTCACAGACGTCCCCCAAGGTTTTGTCATACTAATCTCTTAATGGGTTTATGGTAATTGTATACATGGCAACATCGAGCGGGTGATCCTTCTGCTGGGGATTGCTCTTGTGCAGGGGTAAAGCACCAGCTGAGACGATCGGATTCAAATCCTCGGCTCAGGCACAGCCCTGGCTGGAGTCAGACCAGATGCTGCTCACGGCTGCAGAACCCCAGAGAAGGGGACTGGATGCACAGGAAGGGCCGTGAGGACATGGCGGCAATGTTTTAAACAGCCCAGTACTACAGTAGCAGCAGCAACAGCACTGGGGAGAGACAATTGCTGGAAAGGAAAAAGAAAAGACCTTGTGCTAAAGCTGGGCAGAAAACTTGGGCAACCCCGGCTGCATTGCCAGCTCTGCCACTGACTGCTTGCCATGACCATGGGCGAGTCACCTAGGACAGACATTTCTCCCTCGAAGATACTCTTGACATGCAGAAGAGCCCACAAGCTGGGATGCCAAAGCTCTCTTCGTCTTGCAACTACCAGCTCCAGACCTCTGGCACAGCAGCAACTGCCCCATGTCACGACAGGGAGCACAGATGCAGACCATCCTGGTGGCACTGGCACTGCCACTTCCCCTCTGTGGCCATGCATGGGCAAGGACAGGGTGTCAGGCAGCACACAGAAGTGAGGACACGTGCTTCCCTCCGGACCACAGCCTCTTACCTGCTTCTTCTTCAGCTTGGAGATCTGCTGCTCCACCATGGTGATCTCGCGGTCCACGCGGTCCATGTTCTGAATGAGCTCCTCCTTCGACAGCCGGGCTGGCAGCAGGTCCAGCTCGGTGTCGGGGTGCACCGGGCTCACAGGCGACACAGGCTCCAGTTTGCCAGGCAGGCCACGATCCTGGGGAGCATAAAACAACCAGGTCAGTTCTTTCCCAGGAGACTTTAGATCCTTCTCTGGTCCTCCCACACCAGCTGCCACAGCTCCCTGGCCTGTTCCCAGCCCTCTGAGACACAAACCTCCCTCAAAAACCTGCTAGACTAAGCAGTACCAGCTGCCAGATCACATCACCGTAGTGCTCCACAACCTCCAGCATCTCCAGAGAGCACCAGGTTAGTCTCCTAAGGACATGACAGCAGCTTTTCCTCCTGCCGGAGCCTCAGAGACACCCACCACCTTCAGTGCTTCCTACAGGATCAATAAACCTATCCGTATTCAGGAGCTCCCAGCAGCACCATCCCTTGACATCTCAGCAGCCAGCTCAAGGCTACATCTTCTCTGCAGAAATGAGGTGGCCACACACATGTCCTCCTCCGACACTGCCACGGCCATGCCACAATAGTGGCATTAATCATGCTGAACGAAAGGGGCTATGAGGGCAACCCCTGGGAGGAAAGAGGACTCCATCTCCTTCGTGGAGGTCCTCCTCCATCTCTTAATAAATTCTGGGGGAGCTCCGAGTGTTGGATGTCAAATGCATCCATCCAGAAATGGAAAGAAAGGGGGAGAGGTGAGGTCAGCTGAGATTAAAATACACTGAACTGACAAAATCAGCTTTTTGCCAATTCCAGGTAAAGAGGCTCTCAGCTCAACAAAACCCTTCAAGTCAGAGACCAGATGGATCAGCATAACCTCCATGGCCACCCCAGGGAGCAGCTCTAATGACCATGAGCTGGGGGCAGAGGGAAAACACACCAAAACGCTCAGCTCCTCCTCCAGCAACGCAACGACGTTGCTGAGCCCAACGAGCATCCTGAGCAGCATCGCCTCACCTGCACACCGTCCCCCTCACCTCTCCAGCTCCACATGAAGGAGCCTGTCTCCTGCAGACACAAGTTGCATGCCTGGACAAGGTCAACCCCCACTGATGAACACACCTGGGATGAAGCAGCTGTTTAATAACCATCGGCCACGCAAACGGGGATCACGGCACACCAACAGCCTACCCCGACCCGGGATGCTCCTCTCTGGCAGCTACCCAGCACCTTAATTATAAGTTTATTTATTCATTTGCTTAGTGAGTGGCTGGATTTCTTTCCCTGGAGGGGGCAGGAAGAGGAGCTGGGCCTTGGTTTGTAACCGTAAACCGCTGCCAGGCTGGGCCGCCAGCATGCTGCAGCTGCTGGGAGGGGAGGGGGAAGGGGGGAGGCGAACAAGAGAAGAAGTTCACACAACTTTGGTACCTCCGTTACAGCAGCCCTGCACCCGCAGACAAAGCCGACATTGTTCTGCACCAACCAGCGCTGAGCGTCCTCCCCGCTGGCAGAGGCATTGGAACTGGATGATCTTTGAGGTCCCTTCCAACCCTAACCATTCTATGGGATGAGCTCTGCCCTCTTCCCTTCCGTAAGGGATGGGCAAATCATCCACGGCAAAGCTGGAAGAAGGGGACGCAAAAGAGGATGTTCTCCAACAAAGCAGCCATGTCCCAGGACACCAGCATCCTTCACTGTTAAACCCTGTTCTAGCTGAAGGACACATCAAGCCAGTCAGGTAGGAACCAGCCAAGGAGGAACCACTGCTGGTGCAGCCTGGAGGCACCAACACGCTTCTCACTGCTGCCATCAAGGGACAGAAAGCAAAGGAGCAATGTGAAACTCCTTCCTCGCTGTCCTGCGTGGGGCTCATCCAGCCCTAAGAGCACAGAGGCACTGGGAAGTTGAGCTGGTTGTTTCCAGCATCCATTCAGAACAGAAACTAGAAGAACATCAAAGGTTTCTGGAGAATACCAAAGAGCAGATTCTGTCTTGTTTTACTTCTCCAGGATTAGACACCAAAACTGGTCAGCCTTCTCAATGGGAAGGCTTTGTGTTCTCCACAATCAGGGAGGAGTTTGGTGGTTTTCGGTTGGTTTTTTTTTTGCACACCAAGAGGAGCAGGACAACCATGAGAAGCAAGAGACAAATCAGGTGCTCTCAAAATCTCATTCAGATGGAGGGATGGGAAGGGGAAGTGGCAGCGGCGCGTAGGTGGGAGGTTTTTCTGAAGGACAGCAAGTTACCTGCTGAAAATGCAGGAGAGAAAGACTTCTCTGCATGTGAAACAAAAGGTACTCTCCCATTTGCCAAGATGCAAGGCAGGGCATCTTTAAACTCTTCCTTGGCATAAAACCCTTTGGAAACCTGGTTTCTGGTACAATGTAATCTTTTTACCTTGCAGAATCTGAAGTAAAACAGCAGCAAAGTTGAGTAAGGGGGACCGCTGCGAGTCACAGCACAAAAACCATCATCAGCTGGTACTGGGAGATGATCATAGCACTGGAGAGAGGCAATGTCCCTGGACCTCAAGTAACTGGTCACTATCAAGTCACAAGCACCTCTCTAAATAAAGGAAATTACAAGTAGCAAGAGCAAGGTAAAATCAAAACTGAAGGCAAAAAAAAATTAAACTAAAATCTTGCCTGTGCAATGGTGAAATCCAAAAAGCAGAGCTCCTGGATTGACACAGGGCACGAAGCAGCCCTTGTTCTAAACCACAAAAATGGGTTGAGAAGAGGTTTGCAAAGACCAGAGCCCACCCAGAGCCCGAGTGGACTCTAATGGAGAGAGATATTTTAACTGGTGCTGCCTCCCAGCGCTCTCAAGAAGTCGCTCAAAATATATTCCTCTGCTTCAGTGTCGCACCCGGCTCGGAACAAGTGCAGTGTGAAACGTGAAATTCTTCTTATTAACGGGAAGTCACAGACTTAGAAACCAGCATGAGCCGGGAGAGCTGGAATAAATCTGCTGGAGGGAAGAAAACAATTACTGCATTACTCAAGTTGATATTTTCTCAGCAATTATCCCGTTTCCATGTGATTTGTTTTTATACACGGCTAACAGCTACTGTAGCTCCTGTTTATCCCTGGCCTTATTATTATGTGATTTGTATGATAACAAGGGTGGGCGAGCTGGGGGCAGAGGCTGCGTAAACCTTCCCGCAGCAAGAGGAGATGCTGGCACTGAAGAAAACAATTATGACTTGAGGAGTCTATCAAAGGCCAGGCTTTGGGGGTGGATCTCTTCTCCACGCTTTTACTCCTAACATAGATAACATTAACGGAGCCAGCCTACTCCACGCTATTAGGCAGTGGTTTAAAAACATGGGAGAAAGGGGGGAAAGGAAAAGGATAAGCCAACTGCTTGTTGATGTCTTGAAGAGCAAGTAAGTCTCCGGGTAAACTCAACGTCCCTGCCTTGGGGCACACCAGCAACCGGGTCCACAAGAGAAGAGACGGTGGCAACCGTTTAATGGCTTTAAACTGAAAAAGGGGAGATTTCCATTAGATATACGGAAGAAATTTTTTTACAATGAGGGTGGTGAGGCACTGGAACAGCTTGCCCAGAGAAGCTGTGGCTGCCCCATCCCTGGAAGTGTTCAAGGCCAGGTTGGATGGGGCTTTGAGCAACGTGATCTAGTGGAAGATGTCTCTGCCCATGGCAGGAGGGTTGGAACTAGATGATCTTGAAGGTCCCTTCCAACCCCAACCCTGGTCCCTCCACCAACGAGCGACACTCCTAAAACCCCATCCGTGTGAGCCGTGCCACAGGGAAGGGACAGCCACTCGTCTGGGGCCAGGAACCCGTGCCTGAGCAGCACTGCACACCCCAGCCGACGCAGAGCCCCGGGGCTTTCCCACACACCCTGGGATGAAAACCGAGCAGGAGAGCCAACGCCCGCACCTCCCTCCGTCAGGTTTTAAGGTAAAAACATGTACATCAAACTCTTAAATGGGCCAAAGGTGCACCAGAGAAATTATTTTTTTTTCATCACAAAAGCATTCAACGCATTCTGGCACATCAGCAGCCTCAAGGTGACAGCACTGACGGGGGTAAAAAGTCGAAGGGGCTGAAAACCAACATCTCGCTTCCCGCAAATATGAAGCCAGAGAGCCCGAGCAGCGAAAAGTACATCGAGTTATCACAACGCTTTTGTTCATGACCATCTGCTGCATTAATGGCTCTTTCAGCAGCTCCACCCTTCAAACGGAGTTTTAATTCTTAAATACCACTGGGCTCTCAGCTGGGCCGCGTCCCCGCAGTCGCTCGGACGGCTGCCGAAGCAGGACGTAGATGTGCATGTTGGTGAACGCAGCGTGACTCCGGGGAGCACCTCGGGTGCTGTTCACCAGCCACGAGCTCATGGGTGTTCCCGTGTGAGGCCAACCAGTGCGCCCCAGGGATGCCACGCATGGAACCGAGGCGTCGCCCACCTCCTTCCTCCATCCCCACGCTCCGTGGCATGTGCAGGTGGGGGGGACGAGCAAAACAGGGGTCACTTCCACTGGATGCAGCCCAGTGCGTGCTCTTGTGGGAATTCATGAAGCTGGAGACCAAGGAGCTGCCTGAAGACAAAGCTGATTTTTTTATTTATTTTTATATTTTCTTTAAATAAATCTGACTTTATGAGAAGGCCTACGAAATTCCTTTCCCCTGTAATCCAGCTGAATTCCACGCAGCCAGGGCAGAAAACATCCCAACAATTTCTAAGCTTGCACGAAAGTAGGTCAAAAAACTTCCCCAATGTTTCAACAGCTTGAAGCAATTTAATTGCAAAACAAGTACCAAATGCTGACCCTCCCTCCCCACCCCCACCAGTAGATTTAGGAGGGTGGTAAAACCTCGCCAGCGAGCGCTACAGTTACATGCACTAACCAAAACCCAGGATCTGCTCTTGCAAAACTTGCTTGTGCTCAAAAAAGCTGTTCCACAGTGTTATCCTTAACAGATGCTGCCTCTGGACCTCATTCCAGAATATTACAGAAGCGGCAGCAAACACGGCTCCCGGACTCGGAGGTAGCCTGGAATAACGGGTCAAACCCAGAAAACCCTACTCAGGCAAACTCCCACCGAAGCCCAAGGCATTATCCTGACAAATGGATGCTGTGCCTTTCATTACCTTCCCGCATTTCCCCATTAGTGGATAATAATTGCATTGAACGCGGACGTCAGGTGCTGATTTTG